GGCTACTGAAGGCTGAGGCGGAAGGATCGTCGGAGCCCAGCAGGTCGAGGCTGCAGTGGCCAGGAGCCGCCACTGCACTCCAGTCTGGGTGACAGAGTGAGACTCCAACTCAAAAAACAAAAAAACAAAAAAAACCAAAAAAAAACCTTAATTGTTTCCTCCTCTTTCCTAAAGCATAAGCCAGTTTTTCATGCTGTTACTCTAGTAATCTTAAGAGATATATCTGTGACAGCTCTAACTTGAGAACCTTAGGTGGAGATAGTATCAGGATATCAAAGCATTACTAGTAAATTTTAATGTTCTTCATGAAAACAATAAGGATTTCGTTATCAATCTGAGAGATATTCTGTTATTAAGGAATTATAGCATTAATCACTCTGTACTATAGTTAGCTGTGTGTATGTTTGCCTCCTTGGTTAGACTAAGTTTCTAGAGAACAGGAATTATGTTTATCTTTGACCTGTGATGCAGTGATGGGGTAGGGGTCAAGAGTGTGACCTTTGCTGCCAGCCTTTTTTGGGTTGATATCCTGGTCTATATTCAGACTTTGGGGATTAATGCCTTACTTATTTGTGTGTTCTTGGGCAGGATTTCTCTAGCGGCTAATGATGTTGAGCACCTTTGATGTGCTTATTGTCCATGTGTATATCTTCTTTGGAGAACTGTCTATTCAGATTTTTTGCCTATTTAAAAAATTAATAACTATTTTTTAGAGCACTTTATTGGGTTTATAGAAAATATGAGCAGAAAGTACAGAGTTCCTGTATATTTCCTTACCACCCCCCAACCACACACAGTTCCCCTACTATTAACATAGTGTAATATATTTGTTAACCACTTGATAACTAACTCACCTGTGAAATTGAAACAGTAGTAATGTTTACATATTTCATAAAAGTTCCTGTAAGGGTTAAATGAACAAGCATATGTAAAACACTTAAGATACTACTTTAAGCATTCAGTGGATGTTGGTCAAGGGAACATAGCACATAGTTTAGCTGTGCTTAATAAACATTTGTTAAGTGAATGAATAACATTGAACCTAAGTAGTAAGAAATTGGTGGCTCAGTGCTATCTGCCATTCTATAGCTAAGCATACATCAAAATTGTACGGTAAATAACCACTGTGAGGGAATAGTGACTTGTGATAAAAATGTGCTATCAAAGACCTGGAAGTAAGTTTGTGATGACTTTCTGTAATGTGTGGTAATGTTGATGAGTCCAACACTGTGGTACACCTTTTTCAGTAAGTTGTGGTTGTTTTTTGAGGTGGAAAAAAAAAGTCCCTGGAGAAATTAAATCGCCCCAGGAAGCCATAAAACTCTTGCTTTATTTTTGATTTGACATAGAAGGGAGGGCACATACCTTGCTCTGAACCGAAGAAAGTGGAGTGAAATTTTTATTTCATGTTTCTCTTTTGTCTTTGGTATAGCAGGGTCTGCTGGTGTCCATCCGGTAGTCCTTCCTCCCACTTCCTTGCCAGCAGAGTCTTGATTTTATATCTAACCTTACCCTCCTGATACAGGTAAATCCTATTTCGTCTAAGTCAATTACAGTAATTCTCTCCCACCTCTCACTCCCAACCCACAACTTTTCCCCACCACACATGCACCCCTTGAGGATGATTTAGGAAGAAGCATAGAACACAGTTTTGGCCAATGAGAAATGAGGGGAAATCTATGAGAAGTGCTTCTGGAAAATATTTTTTTACTCTTAAAAAGAAACACACAGGAGGAGGCACACTTTTTATCTGCTGCTCATTGCCATGTCAGGATGGAACGTTTGGAATTGTGACAGCGTCTTAGAAGCATAAGAGGCGCTAGCTCTCAGCATGTAAATAAATTTTCTCTTTATAATTAATAAGATTCAACCTATGACAGAAACTCAAGCTTAGGTGCGAAATGACTTTATGTCTTATGTGATGTTTATGGTTATCTCATTATTGCATTCTAGATTTCTAGGTTTTTGTCCAGAGCACTCAAATATGTTGACAATTTTTAGAGTTAAAATATGTACTGCTGCTTACTTTAAATCTGTACTTTTTGTACCTTGTTTTCAGAAATGTCCTTAGTTCCTTATTTTTATACAGCTTTATTAAAATATAATTCATATGCAGTTCACCAATTTAAAATGTACAATTAAATGGTTTTTAGTATAGTCCCAGAATTATGCATCCATCATCATAATCAATTTTAGAACATTTTCATCATCCCGGAAAGAAGCTTTATAACTATTAGCAGTCATTCTCCATTTCTACCCAATCCCTCCAGCATTAGGAAATTTACTTTCTGTCTCTGAATTTGCCTACTCTGGACATATCATACAAACGGAATCATATGTGGTCTTTTGTTACTGACTTCTTTCACTTGGCATGATGAAAGCTCCATCCACGTTGCAGCATGTATCAGTATGTCATTTCTTTTTCTTGCTGAATAATATTACACTGTATGGATATATCATATTTTGTTTATCCATTTCATCAGTTGACAGACATTTGTGTTGTTTCCACTTATTGGTTTTTATGAATAATGCTGCTATAAATACTCATGTACAAGTTTTTTTGTGTGAACATATGTTTTCAGTTCTCTTGCATGTATGTCCAGGAATGGATCTGCTGGGTCACATGGTAACTCTACATTTAACTTTTTGAGGAACTGTCAGATATTTTCCAAAGTTGTTGCACCATTTTATATTTCCATCAGCAGACTATGAAGTTACTATTTCTCTACATCCTCACCAATACTTATCCTTTTGTTGTTGTTGTTATAGTCACTCTAGTGGGTGTGAAGTGATATCACAATGTAGTCTTGCTTTGCATTTCTCTAGTGGCTAATAATGTTGAACATCTTTGATGTGCTTATTGTCCGTGTGTATATCTTTGGAGAACTGTCTATTCAGATTTTTTGCCTATTTAAAAAATTAATAAACTTTATTTTTTAGAGCACTTTATTGGGTTTATAGAAAAAATGAGCAGAAAGTACAGAGCTCTTGCATATTCTCTTACCACCCTCCAACCATACACAGTTCCCCTATTATTAACATTAGTGTAATATATTTGTTATAATTGATGAGCCAATGTTGATACATTATTATCGCCTAAAATCTGCAGTTTACGTTAAACTTCACTCTTTGGTACATTCTATAGGTTTTGACAAATTTGCAATGATATGTGTTTGTCATTACACTATGATGCAGAGAAGTTGTCCTGCTGAAAACAATCTCCCATGCTTTCCCTAACCATCCCTCTCACTTTCCCTTTTCCCAAAACCCTGGCATCCATTAATCTTTTTACTGTCTTGTTTTGCTTTACTATTTTGTCTTTTCCAGAATGTCATGTAGTTGGAATCATGTATATATAACCTTTTCAAATTGGCCTCTTTCACTTAAATATGGATTTATGGTTCCTCAATGTTTTCATGCCTTGATGACTCATTTCTTTTTATCATTGAAAATATTGAATTGTATGGATGTACCACAGTTTATTTATTCATTCATCTATAGAAAGACATCTCGGTTGCTTCTAAGTTTTGGCAATCATGAATAAGTGGCTTGAAATATTTGTGGGCCAGTTTTGTATGTACATAATGCTTTCAACTTATTTGGATAAAAGAATGCAATTGCTGGATCATACGGTAAGACTATGTTTAGCTTTTTAAGAAACTGCTGAACTGTCTTCAGAGTGGCTGCACCATTTTACATTCCCACCAGCAATTAATGAGAGTTTTTGATGCTCCCTTTGCCCACTTTTAAATTGGGTTATCTGTCTTTGTATTATTGAGTTATAAGAGTTCTTCATATAGTCTAGATATATGAATCCCTCATCAGGTATATGAATTTGCAAATTTTCTCCCCATTCTGCGGGCTATCCTTTTCTTTTTGCTAGAACAACCCAGCAAAATAAAATTCTGGTTTATTGTTGAACAACATTGTTTCACACATACCTCAAACAGGCCAAAAAAGTTAAAAAAAATAAACAGCAACTTCATAGACAAAAAAGGAGAAAAAAAAGAAACCTTTTATCTTTGACCTTTTTGACCACTCATACAAACCAACTACTTATAGTACAGCTAAGTACATACACAAAAAAAGTTACTGGAGTGCTCAGAATAAGATTGTTTTTGCTTTTTTTTTTTTTTTGTTACAAGGTTCTTTTTTCTCCTTTTAGATGACAGTGGACATAGTCATACCACAAGTAAAGTCAGAAGTAGGTCAGAGAATGCTCCGGAAGGCCGGTTTGGTCATCTGAGATCACCAGTAATGGTTGACCCCTAACAACATGCACAAAAATATAAAATGAAAATAAAACATAAGAAAAAAATTCCTTTTTAAAGTACTTTAAAGCAAAATATCAGGTTCTTGGAGTTTTGGTTCCTTTTTCCTCCCCGGTTGCGAATTCTCACGGTTTGGGTGGGCTGGTGGAGAGCGCGTGTCATCTGTGGGTGGCGCTGCTCCTGGTGGCTGGGAGCCCGGGTCTTTCTTTCTACTCCCAGGTGACCACGTTTGGAGTCTGAGACGAGAAGTCGAGGGTGAACAGGTCACGGTGGCCTCTTTATTTAGTCGAGCTGTTCCTTTTTTGCCGTCTATCAACAGCGCCATCCTCATCACCTTCAGCTGCGCGTTTGCCCGTGGCGGCCTCACCTTCCTCATCTTCATCTCCATCCTCCTCACCATCACCTTCCTCCTCCTCCTCCTCTTCCTCTCCACCTTCTTCCTCTTCCTCGTTTTCAGTCTCCTGCTCTTCGTTTTCCTCACGAGCATTCCCTTTATTTATTTATTTATTTATTTATTTATTTTTGAGTTGGAGTCCCACTCTGTCACTCAGCCTGGAGTGCAGCGGCCGCTCCCGGCCCCCGCAGCCTCGACCCGCTGGCCTCCGGCGATCCTTCCGCCTCAGCCTTCCGAGTAGCGGGAATCACAGGCATGCGCTACCACGCCCGGCTGATTTTTGATTTATTGAAGAGATGAGGTCTCGCTGCCCAGGCGGGTCTCGAACCCGCGGGCTCCGGCCATCCACTCACCTCAGCCTCCCAAAGGCGCGGGGTTCCAGGCTGAGCCACCCGGCCCGGCTAACGAGCATTCCCTTTAGCAGGGGCGCCTCTTCCGTGTTCTGCCTCCTCCACAACGTCCTTCTTCTCCCTCTCCCTGAAGTCTTTGGCGGTGATCTCGGCGCTGGTGTCCCCGGCGGCGGCGTGCAACATGGTGGGACACGCCGGTGTTCCCATGCAGGGGGCTCCACAGAGCACGAGAATTCCGGGACTCTGCCGTTCAAGCTGCTGGAGAGCCGTCTGGGAACAATGCAAGGACGGCGTTTCAGAGCAGGCAGTGGGGATTTTTATTTTCTTGTTGGCGTCCTTTGAAGCACAGCAGTTTTTACCTTTTGATGAAGTCCCATTTATCTCTCTTTTTCTTGTATTACTTGTTCCTTGAGTGTCTTGTCTCAAAAAGGCTTTGCCATGATTGACTCCTATATTTTCTTCAAAGAGTTTTCTCGATCTAGCTCTCTTATCCATTTAAAATTAATTTTTATATATTGTGTGCATTAGGAGTCCAACTTGACTCTTTGTATGTGTGTGTTGTCCCAGCACCACTTGTTGGAAAGACTACTCTTCCACCACTGGCTTGCCTTGGCACTCATGTGGAAATCAGTTGACCACAAAAGTGAGAGCTTGGTTTTGGACTCTCAGTTCGGTATATTGATCTGCATTTGTATTCTCATGCAAGGAACACATTGTCTTGATAGTGTTGCTGTACAGGAAGTTTTGAAATTGGGACACGTGAATCCTCCAACTTTCTTCTTTTTTTAAAGATTGTTCCGGTGATTCTGGATCTCTTGTATTTTCATTTGGATTTTAGGATTGGTTTGTTAATTTTTGCAAAGAACCAACTAGGATTTTTTAAAAAGTTTTTAAATTTTAAATACGTGGAGTACAATTCAGGGTTAGGAATACAAATGTTCATTATGCAGGTACCCTTGTTGATGAGGTGTGCCACCCCCTGCCCTCAGCAGTTTCCCACTACTGCGAATCCTACCTCCCCCACTTCCTGGCAGTTTCTCACCACTGTCAACCCCTTTTTTATAGTATTATATTTGTTCAAGTTTCGCTTATGAGTGAGAACATGTAATACTCAGTTCTTTGTTTCTGTAATAGATCACTCAGTATTATAGACTCTAAGTCCATCCAAGTTGTTGTGAAATTCATAATTTTGTCCTTCTTTATGGCTGCATAATATTTCATCATGTATACGTACCACATTTTTTAAATTCAGCTCTCTTTTGATGGGCAGCAAAGATGATACCATGTTTTTGCTATTGTGAATAATGCTGCAATAAACATGTGTGGGCAGGTATCTTTTACATAGAGTGATTTGCGTTCCTTTGGCTGTATTCCCAGTAGAGGGATTACGGGGTCATATGGGAGGTCAATTTTTAGATCTTTTAGGAATTGCCGTACTGTTTACTCTAAATGGATCAAAGACCTAAACGTAAAACCTCAAACTACAAGAACCTTAGAAAACGCAGGAGACACCCTTATGGAAATTGGAACTAGCAACTAATTCCTGATCATAATCCTAAGTACCCATACCATAAGAAATAAGATAGACAGGTGGGACCTTATCAAACTGACTAGCTTCTGCAAAGCAAAATAAACCATCAAGAGAGCAGGGAGACAGCCCACAGAATGGGAAAAAATATTTGCCAATTGTATATCTGACAATGGCCTAACATCTAGAATCTACAAGGAATTCAAATGTGTCAAAAGGAAAAAAACAAACAGTCCCATTAAAAAGTGGGCAAAAGAAATGAATAGATACTTCTCAAAAGAAAATATATGAGCAGCCAACAGACACAGGAAAAAGTGCTCAGCTTCACTAATCATCAGAGAAATGCAAATCAAAACCACATTGAGATACCACCTAATCCCAGTAAGAATGGCCATCATTAATAAAATAAGCAGATGCCGGCGAGGATGCGGAGAAAAAGGAATGCTTCTACACTACTGGTGGGAATGTAAACTAATGCTGCCTCTTTGAAAGACAGTGTGGTGATTTCTGAAAGAACTAGAAATTGTCCTTCCGTATGCTCTAGCAATGCCCCTATATAACCTGAGGAACTCAAATCATTCTACAAAAAAGGTACCTGCACACATAAGTTCGTTGCAGCTCTATTCACGATAGCAAAAAGATGGAACCAACCATGTTGCCCATCGAAGCTGGATTGGATAAAGAAAATGTGGTACATATACACAATGGAATATTATGCAGCCATAAAGAAGGGCAAACATATGAACTTCGCAGC